CAACTTATATTCGTGTGCAACTTATTTTTTGGTAAATATGGTACTTAAAATGTTGAGGAGCTTGTATCTTGGCAAGCTGCAGCTGTAATGTAGATTCCCCAGCACTGGTTCGGAAAGATAGATGACTTGATGATTAATATAGTGACCTGATGCAGAAGGAATGCAGGCATCAGACTGTGGGACTCTAGAGAGATAAACTCCCTCCAGGTGAGGTTGAGGTCTGGACTTCACACTACACTTTTAGGGGAAATATAACATTTTATAGAGTCTGGTAGAACTGTGAATTTCCAGTCCTCTCTGTGGCTTCCCCAACATTTCTTGGCAGCTGAATGCAAACAGAAGAGTTGTCTCCGGGGCTCTCATGTGCTTTCTTTGTGCTCAGAAGACCTAAACAAAAACCAAAAAGGCTTGAGCTCAGCTGAAAGAGCAGATTTCTTCTAGCTAAAGAGGTAGCGGTTATATTTTGGTGATTGCAAATGTTGCTTTCTGTTTCATTTGGAAAAGAGATACAAGCTGCAGTGCTCTAGTGTGACACAAGAGACATTGCTTAATAAAACATATCTATGGAATCATCTTTTGGAAAATCAAACCACAACAAAGAAAATCTACAAGATGAGATCTCTTGAATCTCTCATTTAGAAGGCAATGAGAATTTCACTAAAATAAATCTACTTTTTTCTCTCAAGAAAACCACTATGATAATATCACACGTGTCACCTCAGAGTTTCAGAAGAGATCTCAACATAAGAAACTATAGCTTACTGAGACAACGAAGTCTGCAAACAAAAGATGTCAGATGTCAGGTCCCATCAAATTTTTCCAGGACTGAATCCCACAGACCAACATTAGATTTCCTGAGAAATTAACAAGCAATAAATTGCTCTTCTGAGAAGATAACAAGCTCTGGAGTAGCTAGGATGACACTTGTAGCCTAAATGTTAAAGGGATAGTTCACCCAAAAATTTTAATTCTGTCATCATATATTCGCCCTCATGTCATTTCAAACCTGTATAACTTACTTTTTTTTCTGTGGAACAAAAAAGAAGATTAGTCTAGATCTGTTTAATAAAATCAAGCGTAGCGTTAGTTCTGGCAGCTGACTCTCAGCTGATCCCATCTACCTATAGGAATACGACACCTATCTAAGCATTCATATATAAGGTCCCTCAGTATTATCAGCAGTTTTCGCATTGCTCAATAGCCAATTACCCTCCTCCATCCCCAGCTCCTCCTCTGTCAGTCAGGATTCAGCCTTCTGATTATCCTTTGAATCAGACTCATTCTAAAATGTGTACATACAATTATTGAACTATTAACGATATCTGCAAGACATTTATGTTGGTTCTGTTCTGTTTACCCTGGGGGGTTACCGCTGCTCTCCCTGCTCTCATCCATGCTAGGCTGCATGGATGCGCAGGGAGTTCTTGCCCAGAGCAGAACCATACTGTATGCTAATTGTCAATCATCTTTGACGATAGTGGTCCTGACAGAAATATGCTTCCATGTTTCACATTAAATTTCAGGTGGGAATCTTCTCTTTGATATGTAAGAGCACTAGTTATCTTACTGGAATTTGCTATATAAGCTATAATGGAGCTTTGCGACATTTAAAATTGAGTAACCTGCATAAAAATAGCATTCAATAGAACTGGGTCCTTCCTGCCTTTTGCTACTGCAGTGTTACACAAGACATCCTGTGCCGTGATGCCCCGCGGTGCGATTGGGTCCCCACAAATCTCCAATAGCACTTAAGTTAAAGGAAACAGCGTACACAGGTCCATCACTGCTGCAATGCTGCACAATAACTATCCACTGAAATCAACAAGCCCAAACATTTTATCCTTTACAGAATCATGGACATATGAAAAAGTCAAAGACCCAACAGGAGGTAAGGAATGGGGGGAATCGAAAACCTTGTGAAAGCAAACCCTGAGAGATATGTTTTTTTCCAGAATCCTAAGCAGCACTTAAAGGTCCCATGGCATGAAAATTTCACTTTATGAGGTTTTTTAACATTAATATGAGTTCCCCTAGCCTGCCTATGGTCCCCCAGTGGCTAGAAATGGCGATAGGTGTAAACCGAGCCCTGGGTATCCTGCTTTGCCTTTGAGAAAATGAAAGCTCAGATGGCCCAATCTGGAATCTTCCCTTTATGTCGTCATACGGGGAAAGGTTACCTCCCCTTTCTCTGCTTTGCCCGCCCATGAGAAAATGAGCTACTACAGTGCCAGGCGAGTGCAATATTTTTTTTTTCCTCGAGAGACATCATGGCTTGCAAACGAGCGAAGCATGGCAGTTGCTCAGTGGCTCGTAGTGGCTGAAATTCTGCACCAAGGCTGAATTTCGGGAAAGAGACTTCAGATACAGTACTAGGGACCACTTAGGCCTATATAAAAGCATCCAAAAAGCAGCATGTCATGGGACCTTTAAAGAGCTGACATAAAGTGACTGGTGACCAGAAGATACTCCACTAGCTTCACTAGCTTGTACATTCTGCATAATAATTCTTGAAGACATCATCAGGTCTGAGGATTACATATCTATATGCTTTCTTCAGATCAGCAGCCTGAACATTCTTTGCAACAATTCTTGCTTGATATTTGATATATACTCTGATATCCAACTCTATCCCAACTGGCTTGACGTCACCTTTCCTTGCCCAACTTCAAAATCCTGTCTTTTCTAAACCCTACGACTCTCCAGTTCACACATCAAAACCTTTTAAAAACGGATGACGGCCCTCAGCCTATAAAGCACATCCTGGAATCCATCCTCCAACCTTACATGACAATTTGATATCCATGTCCGATGTGCCTTAGCTTTATCTGTTCAGCTTTGAAGCCTACCCCAAGATACGGTTGGCACTGAATGGTGGTAAGTAAAGAGTTGATGACCCTGTGGGCTTGACCTCATCTTTTAAACACAGAGTTTGCCTTGTGAGAGGCTCAACAGCGCGGTATTGGCTGTATTGCAATGCCACATGGATGAATACCAGGAAGAGGAATGCGAGTTAACTCAAACAACGACAGCCGCACTCAATGATAAGGTCAACTTTGTGAGTATAAAGCCTATTATGAATTTTGCTTACAGGAAAAAGGAGAGAGCTGTGTTTGCATCTGGTATAGTAGTGTGGTTTCACGCACGTAGAACAGGAGCATTGTTTGGACCAAAGTTTAAGGGTGAATATAGAGGAAGGCAGCTGTTTACAGAGGCTGAAAGTCTTTTGTCTTTATTGCCCTCACGTCAACCATGCATAAAGGGGCAACTCTGGGACATCAGTTTATTCAAAGCAATAATCATATAATCAAGCAAATTACAGTGTTGATGCAGAAAATAAACGTCTCAGCGAAAATGAAAGAATCTGAATCCTTCTGAAAAAAAAAAAGTGATTGATTTTATGTCCAGTTTTTTTTTCTTTGAAATATCTGCAAAATTGTACCTATTTTTTAAATGGACAGAGTGCCAATACATAGCAGCGACATTCTGAATAGTTGGTATTCAACAGATCTGGTATTATTACTTTTTGCTAAATAAGGGGAGGAGAATTTGAGAATAATTTGTTTGGATCATTTGGTTGTCATCTGCGGTCGACCAGTATGGGTTTAATTCAATGGTTAATGGCAATAATGATATCTAGAAAGGCGGGTGGCAGATGACCAATATAATATTGATATTTATACATGAAACAATTTAATAGGTTAAATATTGCCAAATTTCATTTGATACAATACACAATGCAATACATACGTCATGATTCACTACGTTACGCTGCATCACAATATCAAAATCGGATTGTGTTTCAAACTGTGACAAACTGCTTCTTCAATAATTAAACTTTTTAAAATGGTATGAATGAACACACGAGATCCTGGAATAATGATGTAATGAAAAATACCGTGAGGAAACAAAAATACTATGATACACCAAATATTAAATGGTTATTATTTTAGATGCATTCAAAAAATTAAAACAATTATTAATTCAAATTATTCTTAAGCAAGGCTGTGAGTAGATTTTGAAACTGACATTGTTAACTTGCAAGCAGAGACTCTACTGGCCAATGCTGATTATCTCAAAAAGTCAAAATATCAGCCAATTAATGGGCTTGACCAATATATTGCTTTATCACTACTAGTCATAACACATCATACATTCAGGGTCAGAGTATCCCGCTCTGTATATATCGAAAAAAAGCAAACAATTTCTGAAAATAATCCAAACCAAACATCTAGGCTGGGGTGCTGAATCAACAACGCATTACCACTGATCCATACTTTCATTTCAACACAAAGGGATCAGACACCTCACTGTCCTGTAGAGGGTCCACAGCCACGAGGGCCATACAAAAAGCATATACGCAGTACAAAGAGCTCAAATACTTTGAAACAGTAGTTATCATAACAGAGGTACTATTTCTTTCTGGTACAAAAGATGGGAGTTTATGGGAGTTCATAATTAAAGGTTGACAGATTGACAGAGAGCTCTTGCCTCGCCCATCACTGTCCTGCCATGCAAATGGAAAGGAGCTCCGTGAGCCCTGATATACTTAAATCAATAGTTATTCAATTTGGAAAGGTGCAAATATTTGGGTTTGACAGGATAATCTGGTCATGCTTTCCAACTGGCAAATCACAAGTGCTATAGTGAAGACTCCCTTGAACTGAGCAAATAGTAGGTTCAGAATCCCTTGCACAACTCTCTGGAGGTCAAAGCAAGAACTGCAACCTACTGTTTAAAAAATGTATGAAAGTATGCACTATAAAAATGGCATTACCCAAAACCCATCAAATATTTAATTAAGGCGTTTAAAATCGATTTATCTTTCGAAAAAAAAAAAATAGGTAAAACAAGAGATTCCGCATTCATCCCAGACGCATGCATCCCATTCTGTGCACCCATCCGCATACAGGTATAATGCGAGTTTAATTCTTTTCTATGCAATACAGTAACACCATACTAAATGAAAGGCGTTTGTTTAAGTCTGGTTTTATTTATCTTACCAGTCGGTAGCCGAGGTCTCGTTGATAACGTCCTGGTAGGCTGTTAAGAGGGCCAGTCTGTTCTTGCTGAGATTCACAGCCATGTTGCTGCCACTGCAATCATCCAGACCAGTGTAGCAGTGATGATGAGGAACGCGAGAGTCACTGCGGAGCGCGAGAAGAGGAGGAGAGATGTTGCACGCTGAACAAAGAGACGCTGCTGCTGCTGCTCTGCTGCGCTGCGCGGTCCTAGTGCCCCAGCGTTCCGCGCGTTCTTGGGTTCAAAACAGCTACAACTGATCGAAAGTGGGTAAAACACATAAGCCAAAATTGTTTAACAGCAAGGCCATTTTTAAAAAACGCATAATAACAAATAATATGCCAAAACTGCATATTAGAATGATTTCATGTAACACTGAAGACTGGAGTAATGGCAGAGAAATGGCAAAATTCTGCCATTACAGGACAAATGACATTTTAGAATATATTAAAATAGAAAACTGTTAAAATGTTATACATAAAAAATAAAACATTAAAAAATCAACAAAACATTTAAACAGTACTGTACATATAATGCATATATATCCAGTTAAATCAGAATTATTATAAATATTTAATCTTTATCTACATAAGTTGTAGGACAAAGTCAAACGTGAAAGATATCCTGTGGTGAGAACATCTCCATCCCTTAAATAGCAAACAAATGCACACCTTATCCTATAGTATCCTGTACTTAACAACCTCTTAACAGCAGTGTCCTAGGCTAGAGCTCCATGGATTCTGTCCAATCCTGTATCATGGCACAAGGCCAGGATCTGCCAGTAACAGCATGGGTCAGTGTGTATTCAACTAGAGCACAGATTTCATCCATGATAAACATACTTCCAGTAGGGTTCTTTATTTCTGGCTGAAAACAATGGCAGCATATCTAATCCCACGAGCCACAACCATACATTTTCAGTTCCACAAAATGTACAGAGAGAGAGAGAGAGAGAGAGAGAGAGAGACAGAGAGAAATAAGCTATAGAGCTTAGTCCTTCACCCTCTTCACAGCCCAGCCTCCACATTAATGCCCCCCCTGCACAAACACATGCACACACATTCACCTTCCTCTGCAGTCTCATCCAATCAGGATCTCTGTGTGCCCCAGAGCTTCCCCTCCGCTTGGCTGCCTACTAAATGGGTTACCATTAATTAATTCTTCTCACTCATCTGGTCCTTGGCGTCTCCAGTTGCCTACAAAGGTAGCAATTATATTCAGTGGTGATGAGGATTGTTCTTAGGAAAGACATCTGTCCGGCAGAGCCTCGGCAGGCATCCAAAAGGAGGCATGTGAGGAGAGCTTTGCCATTCAGCAGTACAACTTTGTGAACACAAAACAAGACTCTGATTTAACCGCTACAGCGGGTTTAACAACTCCAGTGATTTTAGCACCAAATCAGATTTTTCACCCAAACACATTCTCTTCAGCGTGCTATTAATTATCATTTCCAAATATACTGCAAAGTAGCAATGCTGCAAATTGGATTTGGTGTTAAAGGTGCCCTGTGCTGTGACTTTTTAAACTATTTTGCTCCAAAAGAAAACAATTAATAAAAAAAACCCCACTATAAATAAGCCTTTACAGTAAAAAAAATGCACTGTAAAATATGTTGTAAATTTAAAAACGTACTACTAAAATCAGGCAACACAAAACAAGACCTCAATGCAACGCTTTATAAGACCTCAATATATCATCAGGAGCCACGGGTATTTCTTTTTTTTTTGACTCTCAAAGTAATGGACGACTTTCATTTTATGAATAACTAAGGATTCTGGTTTCAACTAAACATTTTTTTTTACTGCTGAAGAAAAAAGTCACCTACATTTTGGATGGCCTGACGGTGAGTCATTTTTGAATGAACTATCCCTTTAATTTAATTTAATTTGATTAATGTTTGCATCATTTGTACTGCCTCTCTTATTCAATCATTTTATCCAGTCATTTGAATGTTAAAATGTTAAAACATTATGTTTTCAATAGCCAACTTCGCCTGACACATTCACATACACACTTTGATCATATTTCCAAATTAGAAAATCATTATAACGTCAAATTATTAGAAACACAAATGATTAGCTCCCACGTTTTTTATTTGTGAAATGACAGATACAATATACAAATCGTTTATGAATGACAATTTCTAATTTAATTGGTGCAGCAGTGGCAATAGAGAGCTGATATGCCATCCAATTTGTATTATTAAAAAGTTTGTACTGTAAAAACTATGTTAAAGGTTGATATTTTATCATCAACCATTTCTGCAAGTTACACTGATGAGACAGTAAGTGACTGTCTTTATGAGTGAGTCATTATATGCATAAATCATCCACTCAACTGATTAAAAAAAAAAAACACACACAATGATTCATAGTGATGTTTTGCTAATATGTGAACTGTCCACGGAAAGCACCACAAAAGCCTTCTGACTGGCTAAACAAAAAATCTGTCTCTGGCCACTTCATATTTACTTCAGAGATGTCTTTTATTTTCTACACACCATTCCTTAAAATGGCTTACAACACCTTTAAAATTTAAAAACGGTAAAAATGTTTTACAGTAAAATGTATTGTTCTGTTAAATATATTCTGAATTTTAATGTTACAATCGTGAATTATATCATGCAGTTAAATAATACAAATAATAAAAGTGTAAAAAGGGAATTTCTACAATGTTAAACTGCTACCTGAAAAAAACCCCACAGTAAAAGATACTAAGAAAAATCAGTCCATGCACTTTTATGAATACATTGTGCATTCTGACATGGTCTGATGTCACAGGATGAGTGATAGTGCATTCAAATGAACAGTAGCCCTAAGAGAACAGTCATGGTTCCAGGAAATCTGATTAGTGCTGCTGACAGTGTCTCTTGTCGCCAACACAACACTTTACTTATTCATGCTCCACACAAGCAAGCACACACTCCTGTCTCCTAACAAGGGGTAAAACAGATGGCTAGAAAATTATCATTATGATTATTGTAAAATCCAACATCAAAATAATTGTTTAATAAAATGTAGTAATAAAAACATCCAATGCAATGCAAATGTGTATAAGAGGAAAATTAGAGCACTTGTGTAGGTAGTAGCCTCAAGTCTTTGTGCAATACTTTCATGTTCGCTGTTAAGTTTGGATTTCAGATATTTGAAAAGAGTTAGTAAGATGAAAGATGGCTCTAAAGGGTTAAAGAATCACAGCAGCTCTGTGAAAATACAATCCACATACCAGACATATGAAAGCGAGACCCACGGCGAGCCTTTTAAGTTAAAACAAAGAATCTGACCAGCGGAAAGACCCGTGAGTTATGTCCACATTTTTTAAAAATTAGCAGTGATGATGAGGAACGCGAGAGTCACTGCGGAGCGCGAGAAGAGGAGGAGAGATGTTGCACGCTGAACAAAGAGACGCTGCTGCTGCTGCTCTGCTGCGCTGCGCGGTCCTAGTGCCCCAGCGTTCCGCGCGTTCTTGGGTTCAAAACAGCTACAACTGATCGAAAGTGGGTAAAACACATAAGCCAAAATTGTTTAACAGCAAGGCCATTTTTAAAAAACGCGATGCCCTTGGCACGAGGCCAAGCAAAGATCAAGACATGGAATGCAATCATTTTCATACAAAATACCATTTAATACTGCATTCAAATGCTTCAGTTTGGTCGGATTTGGCAGAATAAGCAAATAAGTTAATGGATATAAAAACAAGTGTTCTTAATGTAATAATTAATATATTCTTCTTATATATACATTAAACGTTTAAGGTCAGTAACATTGTTTTTTTTTTAAAAGATAAATTAATACTTCTATTCAGCAAGGACAGGCTGATCCAAAGTGACTAAAGGCATTTATAATATATAACAAAACATTTCTATTTCAAATAAATGCTGAATCAAGCGTTCTGATATATATATATATATATATATATATATATATATATATATATAAAGAATCACAGCAGCTCTGTGAAAATACAATCCACATACCAGACATATGAAAGCGAGACCCACGGCGAGCCTTTTAAGTTAAAACAAAGAATCTGACCAGCGGAAAGACCCGTGAGTTAGGTCCAAAAAAAAAAAAAGTAGGGGAACTGTCCGATTTATTCAGTTGTAGTACAACAAAAATCCTCTTATGAAAGACTTTGTCCAGTGTTCTGTCTTGTCTGAAGCATTTACTGGAAACTGCTGACCTAACCTGTTCAAGTAGCCTACTGAGATCACTGATGGTCAGTTTTGACTTGTTTGTTTGGTCTAGGAATGTATATTAACATCTTTATAGTAAATGTTGGTTAGAAAATGATAATGTTGAAGCCTGTTTGGAAGTTAGTAAGAGGTTGTTGAATGGCCTTGTAAACGTAAGATGATATCGCACCCTGGTGGCCACAGACTGCTGCAACAACAGCCAATGTGGCTGAGGCTACGTCCACACGAAGCCAGAGCGTTCCCTATCCGATCTTTTTTCCCCCCTCGTCTCAAGAAATATCTGCGTCCACACGAAACCACAAAACCGACACAAAACGATGTAGTATACATACCAGACCAGTATGTGGCGCTGTAATTCTGCCACAGAGATACACTAAAAACGGAGAAGAA